TCCTTCTTGATCCCCCTGCAATTAATTACCTTCTCCCCACTCTTCCAGTCCCAATCTCAGTTAAACTTCTTTAACAACTGCAGAGTGATATTAAAATGTATTTTGACAGCTGGCAGATAAAAGATCATCTTTATAATTCTGTACTAGCACAAAAATCCATCAGTTGTTTGGAGTTTCTCAACTTAACCCACTTCTGTCTAGCAGCAGTGTTGAAGCCATTATTAGAATGGTGCAGACACTGCTCACACCCTTCCAAACAGCACTGCATCCTTGTGGAACCACAAATCCTAGATACCTCATTTGAATACATCCCTTTTCCTAGACAGTCTAATTTTACCTGCTGTGATATAATTGTTTACTCATCATATGAAGGTTATACTGACTAGAGTTACCAGAATTCTTAAATACATTCTATTCCTTTCTACTTTCTATAATGATTGGTCATTTCCCCTAGGAGATAATCCTAATTTCCATCCAAAAGTAAACAGGCAGGGTCTTACTAGATGTACCCAATTTCTTGATAAAACTGGTCAGATACATTCCTTTGATCAGTAAGCAACAGTCTAATTACACCAACATACCAGTATTTAAATAATCCTATACTTGGCCTTTGACGACAAGATATTTAAATAATCCTATACTTGGCCTTTTACAGGCAATAGCACTTTGACGACAAGAAGCTTACCACACTTGGAAAATATAATGTTTTAGATAATCAGCATTTAAATGCATCTAAAATCCACACAATTTATTTAAGAGACCAGGACTCTTCCTGTAAGAAGTATATAGGCAAAGTTGAATATTAGGTTCCTTATAACAGAGTGCCTATATTTTGGGGAAGAGACCAACCAGATTCACAAGTCAAGTGTAGACACACCCTCTAGTCCTAAACATGGGCATAGCCAGTAGCAGCCTGCTTAGCCTCAGACAGATTGGCAGCAATTTATTTTTGATAAATGTTGCTTCATTTCTGCTATAGGCTCTTTCAAACATGTGTGATGGGATTACACATTAATACCAATATGTTGTGAAATGCAAGTTAGTATGAGGGGGAGAGAGAACCTGCTAGAGGAGGTTTACTTATGCTGCCCAGTGAGGAATCCCTCATGCTTCTTCTATGAGCATCTGTTTCACTTAAGCATGAGACATCCTTACATAAAGGAATCTCACTCCCCTAAAAGCTAATATCGATATTATCTCATTGCCTGGGCACCAGTGAATATTTTTATTGTGTCCTATACATGATATCAAAACAAGAAACTATCCGTATTTGATACCTGTTAAGAACACATGGTGCTTTGCTGCAGATAGTGCTTGTGTGAATAGTTCTAATACACCACTCTATTTCAGTTTTTCCATTTACCTCTGTATGTATTTTAATATTGGTCTCTGTTTGCAACCTCCCAAAAGTAGATTCGTAAATAAAAACAAAGGGTGGTGATAAATGGCAATATGCAAGATGGGTCCAATGGGAATATGCAGGGATAGGCATTAGGGCCAGTCTTATATAACTTCTTTATTAATGATCTAGAAGAGGGAGTGTATAGCATGTTAATGAAATTCACAGATGGTACTAAATTGGGAGGAGCTGCAAATCCCATAAGGACAGAGAAATAGAGGGCCCTGGAAAGATTAGAAACATGGGCAGGGAATAAGGAAAGATTCAGTTTAGGGAAAAAAATTGAAATCCACAGTACAGAAAGGAAGAGGGAAAGTTGGCAGGAAGC